TTCTGGACATGGTGCTGCTTTCTCCCTTCTTCCCATTGACTGCGTGCTGGCAAACTTGCATGAAGCAGCTGGCTTCTGCTGCCAGCTGTTGGTCCTACTCCTTAATCTGCCATGCCTCATATATATTAAAATATCTCCATATCCAACAGCTTACTTAAACATTCAGCTTTCACTGAAATGGAACTGTGGTATATTCCTAGGGGAGCACCCAATGCTCCACATCTTGTGTCTGCACAACTGTGGGAAGCTGATACCTGGAGAATCAGCAAATCATCAAGGGGTGAACAAGGTTATCTGCTTTTTGTGCCTGTCCCAAAGCAGAATGAGCTACATTCAACACATTCCTGAAATAATTTTGCTTAACTTGCTCCTGAAACCTATCAGAATTCCCTCAATTCTGGTTAGCTATCCCTACGTTAGAAAATAACGATTGACACAAATACTTCAACATAAGCTCTAACTTCTTCCCCGATCTAAAGTGCTTGACAAAACCTTTATAGATCAGACATTATTATCAGCCCCACATTTAGCCCTATCTTCTCTCACATGAGCATTTTCCAGATCCCTTATTAAGTCTTCTCCTGTCCTCTAGGCTTGTCCCGTGTCCATCCCCTCCTTCCCTTGCAAAGCTTTGCCTAAGCACTGAGCAGACTAGACCATTGCCTCCCCATCCTGTACATTGCACTGCCGCTTGTACAGGCCATGACTGAYCCAAGGTCACTCAGTCATCTTCTCCACTCCAGATCTCTTTCTGCTGCTCCTCCGTATTCGTTGAGCTGACTACTCCTACCTCAGTACCTAAGAAAATGGAGGGGTGATCTCCAAAGGCTCCAGAGCTATAGAGGAGAAAGCAGAGGGCCTGAATGAAACCTGCATTCCAACATGGGAGCTTTCACACATGCTTCACTTCTCTCTCCCTGCCTCGCTTTCAAAATGGGATTATTTGACTGACTTGGCAGAAAGAACAGAGTGACCTCCCCAGCCTTGCTCATCGTGAAAGCCCCAGAGCTTCTTCCACAGGCGCCTATTCAGAGAGTACAATGAAGGTACTGTGCAAAGCAGGGTGGCTCTCTGGCCTCTGCTGCCGTACCCTGTGGATGCTGCCAGTTTCCAAAGAACACAGAGTGAAAGATCTCTCCGTGCCAGGCCAAGAACAGCTCTTCAAAGTCCATGAGCTGTTGAGGATTAAGTCAGAGAAAGCAGAAGTGATGGTGGCACATGGGACAAAACACTACGGTGGAAGGGTGAGCTGGCATCTCTTCCTCTGTTGAAGACGTGCCACTGACCCTTGTTTTCACCTCCATTCCCTCACTAAGTCGGTGTCCAGAAATGCTGCTCTTCCATCTGGCCCCTGTGGAGCAAACACCCTGAGAACATACAGGCTCAGTGCATGGGCTGACACGAGCAGCAGAGCTTCCCAGCTAGCTACTGAGCCTGACAGGCTTGGATGTGAACGTGGGGATGCTTGTCCATTGCTCTTACTTATGTAATCTTGCCTAGTAGAGTTCTTGGTGCCCCCCTGCCTTGTATTTCAGACAGGCCCAGCAGCAGTGAAGCAGAGGATCTCTTCAGTGACTTCGCTCAGGTGCGAAATGTTGTGCCAAAGCTCTGCTGTAACGGGAAGAGTTTGGTCAACAGGTTGGACAAAGCATTTCTTGTGCACAAATAATTGGCTTTTCCTGCTATGAGCTAGCGACTCTCTTGTCCTCAGGGTCTTGGTGGCCTTGGCACAGGTCCTCATTGCCCGGTTTGGAAAGAGATTAGGAAATCAGAGCATCTCCTGCAGCCTTCCCTGTTCGGGTTTGCAGAAGCCTRTGCTAGGACAGAAGAGGTAGGAGAAGCAAGGAGAGGTCTGGCTGGGGGCTGGAGCAGCGCAGCAGCAAATCCACCTTATTTTACACCTGAAGAARGAAGTGGTTGGTGTGAGCAGAACCTTCTCCTCATGGAAGCCATGAAGTGCTGGAGCTGTCATTCTGCTCCTTCCCCTGGTTTGATCATAACAACTCAATCTGCACTATCCACCTGACAAAAATACTCGAACGAGTGTGAATTCCCGTTCTACCCKTCTGAGGAGACCCAGCCTCACCCCCACTCCATTTTCTAGGCAAATTATAGCTGAAACATACATCAACAGGAAGCAAGAAGAAAGGTGACAGCCTCTCCTCTTCTGCAGGATTATAAAGAATTTGTGAATRAACCTGAAGAGCTCTTTAATTTATATCCTCTGCTCTTTTTTTTCCCCTTGGGGGTGGGAATACAGAACTCTGGCAGGTCGAGTAAGGGAATGCTCTTAAGGATTTGAAGGTTGTCCATGCTTTCCACTACCACATACCATTCTCTGATTCAACATGGACATCTAGTACCTGGCAGACCTCACCTTTCATGGAGCCACATTTGACTAAAAGCTTCACTTTGATGCTTTCCACTTTTGCTTCTTTTAGGCTGCGATCCAGTAACTTTCCTTCTTTAAAGGAAGGCCAAGGCAATTTTGTTTCCTGATTTTTTGAAGAGCTTTTCCTCTTCTTTCTTTGATCTGTGTAGTGAATTTGATCTCCCAGAGGAGCAGGATGAGTGTGTCGCCTTGCAGCTYGGTTCCGGGCAGTCAAGATTTGATTCATTGATTCGTTTATTTTTATTTTGCTTCTGTGTTTGGCAAGCAGAATACAGGGCCCCAGGCAAGACTCTTCCTTCAGCTCCAAGAGAAGGATGGTGTTTCCCTGCATCTGGGTGGGTCGGTGCTTCCCACGCAGTGGGCAGGATGCCAGGGCTGAGGCACCTCGGTGACACTTCCAGGGTCTTCCCAGAGTTGCAGGAAAAGGAAATTCACCTCTCTGGATATCTAAAGACTGGATATCTAAACAGTGCACACACCACAGCCAGCTTGCAAACGTCTCAGCTGCCCAGGGAAACCATCTTTGCATGGGCGTTACTGAAGCTGCGTTTTCAGGCATCTTGTGCACATCCCAAAATCCTACGGCTGGCTCCTTATATAGCCACACTAAAGGAAAGYTCAGCCACTGGCTCAGTGCCTCAGACTGACCGGTATCAGAGCCAGGATAAGAAAAGGAGCCCCTCGCTCCCAGCTCCGAGAGAGACAGCGATTCTGTATATTCCAATAAATAACTGGAGGTATTTACTCAAATGAATGACTCCAAGAGYGTTCCAAGGAGTTAATTTAGTGCTAACTGACTGGATGAAAATGAAAAGGTCTCATTTTACATTAAGAATGATCACCTGACAGTTTTACTGAATATATTACGACAGAATTTATATGGCTATATAATTTTAGGGTATATTTGGTAGATTATTATCCTGATTTAAATAAACATGATCTCAAGAAAATCAACACTGTGTCAGGAACTTTTCACACAAGAATAAAGGTAAGAAACTTGTTCAGAAGTGAAGCTAAGTTGTTATGCATTATGCCTTCTATCAGAAACTGCTTTATAATGTACAGAAGCCCAGAGTTCATAGCAAGCAGCAAAAATCCCAAGGATGTCTTCACTTATGCTAATTCACATGTCACTGGTGAATACAGTCCAAATGTCTTATCTTTACACAGCGAGGGCAGCGGAGAGAGTCCAGCAGATCTTGAGGACTAAAGGTCCACTRGGTGAAAGGGTAGGAAGGCAAGAGGAATTGGGTTGGATGTCAAAGTGTCAAAAAAAAAATCTTAGGAAAAAAGTGTGGGTTTTTTTTAAGTCCTTCTAGGAGGATAAAAATATGAGGAATGAAAAGGAAAGAAACTGTTGACTTGGGTAAAGGAAACGCTTCCACACATCCTATTTCCCAGGCGTCATTCCCGTTCTCTGAACAGAAATGGCTTCCAGGCACCTTTATCCTGTGCAACTCTTGGCTTACACAGGAGCAGCTGGTCTAAAAGATGCCTCATGTCCCACAACCCACGGGAAGGAGAAGAGGCTGCCCACGACAGCATGTCCCTRTCACGTTCCCAACAGGTCTGCAGCGTGCTGGGAGCTGGAAGCGGGGCCAGTGCAAAGTCCCTCTGCCAAATCAACGCTGAAGTGTTTTCTGGCCAGAGCCGCTTTCCATGAGGCTGTGTCCATGCACTTTCCAGCTTACTGACATTGCTGAGAGTTGTAAGAAGGGGCCATAGTGAAACTAAGCATCTAAAACATAATCAGTGCCTCTCTCAGCCTCCCAAGGTCCCGAATCCCTTTCCTTCTAATTGCATCTCTAAGCCTAATTCTACACAAGAAAGCCACTCTCAAGGCTTGTTCTGTTTTACAGACCGCCTGATGGGATTATCTTTCTTGCTATTCTGAAGCCTGTCTAAGTGTGTGACTTATACCACTCAAGCTAAATCGCCCTCCAGACTATGCCTTTATTCCTAAATTGTTCTGAAGACCAAGTCATCTCTTTACAGACTATGCTATTCATTTAGTAAATAAATAAAAATATCAATGAAATATAAGTAGTAAGTAATAAGGATATTGCAGTCAACTAGCAATATCCTGTGGCTCAGATAAGTGCCAAATAGAAAAGATCTTAAATATGCTGAAAACCGCAGAGTCTGGTCTCAGACCACACAAAGAAAAGGCAACTTATTTGGTCAAGCACAATCTTCCTGGGAGGTAACACACACTTAGATATTACAGGGATGATAGGCAGCCTGGATGTATCTAAGACAGGTAGATCGATTATTCCTGTAGCTGTAACCTTGGGGCAATATTTGTCTGTCATAACCCCAAAGCAGATCAGCTAACATTTAGGGACTAATCTGATGTCCACTCCAGTCAGTGCAATTTTTTCCATTTATTTACTTCCGTGGCTGCCGGATCAGATCTTCTGGGAATGCAAAATATCATACGAGCTCCTACTGCTGCTGCAAGAGCTATAAATGTGCAAAGAGCAGAAGTCAGGAACTGCCAGGTGGAATTTGGCTGGAGGTTTATTAAGCAACAGAAACATCACCAGGAGCTGGGGAAGTGCCAATGCCCTGCGGGCAGGTTCCRTGACACAAAGCGAGCGTTTGCACAGGTTCATGTGTGCACGTGCTGGGGACAAGCTGGGGACCACGTGGCATACAGAGACACATTTCCACGCTGCAAAAGTTGCAGCAACAATAAGGCCCAAGGGTAAACTGCCATATCACAGTCCCACGTGCGTGAGCAGAGATTTCTGACAAAGAGCTTTTCGATGAGGCCAAAGTCTGCTTCCATTCCCTCCTGTACAGACCAAGTACCGGAGCTGACTTTCTGGAGCTTGTTCTGGATGTAAGCGGGTGCTAAAACAGAAAAATGAAAAACAAGGCCCACGATGGAGGGCACTGACTGCGTTAAAGCGCTGCAGCAGGCTCCGAGAGTCCGCTTATTTCTATGTGAAGATGGATACCTCAAGAGGTTCTTCTCACCAGTAAATAATTCATAAAAAACAAACAAGCCCAGGTCTGTTTGAATTAGAACAAAATATTTCTTTAGAAAAGTGAAGTGATTAAGCACAGGAGGAGCTGGAGATGACAGCTGGTGTCTGCAGCTCCCGATGAGTCACCTTCACTTTGCCAAAGCCCCTGTCTCTGGGAAGTGCTGCTTTTCTTTCTTTTTTCTTCCTTTTTTTTCTTTTTTTAACCCTTTGAGATTCCCCAGAATGATTTGTCACCGGGGTTATTAGCATTTCTCCCTTGATATCGACAGCTTGTCTTTCCTCCTTCCTACCAGTGAGTGATTTCTTCACACGCTCACCAAATATAGCCAAATCACCATGGTAAACGTATCGACAGAATCATATTAACAGCTGCTGAGCATTTACAGGGCCGTAAGTTATATAAAAAAAAAGAAGGAAGGAAAACATACATGGAAATAAACCAACTCTGATCAGCAGTGACAAGCATTTATTTAGGAGTCACTCGATGGAAATATTTCTTATGCTTTAATTGCTAATTATGGGCTCCAACAGAAGGGTGGTTTGGGACAAAACTCTCTCTTTAGAAAGGAGCATTAAGCCAGTGCTGAGCACATCCTACCTGGATGCGTCTTAGGGGAATAGGGGAAAGATGACTATTTTTCAAGTGTTGTTCATGTGTAAATCAAGCCCAAAGTCTACAACCTAAAGGCTCTCGTGACTTACCAGGCAAGGACCTTTTAAAGTACAAAAATATGTCTGTTGAAGAGAAAGGGAAGGCCTTTTCATTCCTTTTGTAGGGATGCCTAGGCCCTAGTCTAGATGCTGGTCTTCCTCTCAGAGCTCAGCACTCGCGTAGCTGGGCTGGGTTTCAGTGCCCACATGCTCCTCAGATGCCCTTCACCTAAATCAGATCTCCTTAGATCTTCTCAACTTGCAGGTCATGACCTACCTGGGGTCAGAACAGGGCCCGAGGGGGTCAGCAAGTACCCGGCCTACAGTAGTCTGGCTTTCCCCCTCCGCGGGAAGGGGCTGTCTTCTCTTCTACTCCTTCCTTCTGCAGAGCCCTCTCAACATACTGACCCAGCGAGCACAGTGTGCTATGAGCTACACTGTGCTCAGCGCTCACAGCAGCTTGCTTGGGATGGCAAACATCCCCCTTGCAGGAATACGATGCATTTGGATGCAGGAGCACCCGAGTTTAATATTCACTTCTTGGATTCACCTTGGACCACCACTTGCTAGAGCTTCAGTCCAAGGTAGAAGTGGGAGGGCCAAATTCACAATCAAAATGAACTCACTGGACTCGACCACGGGTAATTCAATATCCCAGTTTCCGAAGTAGTCCCTCTACCTCCTTGGGCTAACACTGCTGTGCCGGCTGGTTCGCATTTCACAAGCTCGGTGTATTAAGTTCTTTCCATTTTCCCTGCGAGCTACCACTGCTCCTGCTTTTCTCTGCACTGCCGCCTGCCTGCTAGTAGCTTTGGGTATAAAAGCCATGCCTCGTGGGACAAAAGAGCAGTTTGTTTCTCATCCTCATGTCACCAATGGAGAGATAGTCACTGGTGACAACACGGAGCACTGCGAATTCATTTAACATAAATCGGTCTTTTGTCACACATCTCCAACATCTTGGCCATAATACTGACTGGTGAATGAGTGAGAAGGGATGAAAAGAAGGYGAAGATCAAGCGAGCTATGATTCAACATTGCATTGACTTTGCCATGATCTAAATGTTTTACTCTGAGCAGCAGATGACGGGTGTGAATTAATGCTGAGGAAGCAGCATCTCCAATTGTTCAACAACATCCTCCATCCCCTTTAGCAGCCCAGGTAAGATAACTTTGCAAYGAGCTGCTTCCCAAATCTCCTCAGCCCAATCCCGTTAAGGGAAGGATGGACAAGGAGGCTCCTGTGCAACGTGCTAGCAAAACAAGGACGAGAAAGGGGGAGGCAATGAGCATCATCTGAGACACAGAGAGAAGAGCAGAGTGGAAACTCTAGCCTTCCTCTTTTCTGTACCTGGGCTTCCTCATCCTCCTCATGTTGTCAACCCACAGATCTGAATATCTGAGCCGCAGAGCGCCTACCACCTATAGAGARAGAGCCAACACGGGAGTTTCCGAGGAGAGGCAGCCCCGCAAGGGGCAGCAACACGGCCATGGCACCTCCTGCTCGCACTGCCGGGGCAGCACAGGCAAGAAACGGGCACAGGCTCCACAGCAGGGTCTGTAAAAGAGAGAAGCCCCCTCTATCTCCCTGCCAGCGAAGCCTCTTGGAAGTTAGAATGATCAGACAGACAGACCATGCCAAGCAGCTTAGCAGGGCCTGAAGAAGAGAGAGATGGGGAATGTCAAAGACAACAATTGCAGCAAGAGCAGCTTTGCTCTGCTGCCAGCGGGTGCACGGAGCCTCTACAGGCCTCTTGCTGCCTTCTGAGGTGCTTCTTTTTCTGCCCGAGACCTGCAKGTTGCCAACCACAGGGATGCCACCCCCGGGAGAAAGGCTCCCTGAATGACACTGCCAGGGCACTCCAGGCCGACTGCCACCCTCCTGTCACCTGCCAGGAGGAAACACAGCCACCACGTGTGCTTAGTCCTGTGGGGATACAGATCATTGAGAAAAGCATCCCTGCTCTCATAGCTCCAGCACTCCAATGCAGAGCCATCCTTCTAGCCCCGTTGGGAAAGGAGCTTTCTGGACCTACGTCAGTTCTCCTCTTAAATGACACCTCGGATGGAGGGATAGGAAGCCATTCAACAGCAGAGACCCAAAGGGAGCTACTGAGGCACCCTGGACCAGTGCACATCTCCAAYGTGAATTAGCTCACTAACAGCCTGCTCCTCGGCCAGCGAAGGAATGTTTTYCAAGGAGAAGCCCTTTGTCCTTTGTCTTCGTCTTCCCACAAGGATTCGGACTTGGAGGCTGCTCTCCAGACTTGCTTTYCCCACCAAAAGCAGAACTGGGAGCAGGTGTCTGGCGCCCTGACAGATGCGACTCATCTGGGAGAGGAGGCGGCTTTACGAGGAATGGGAAAAATAGAAGGAATGCTATCACCAGGAGAAATCTGCATCCACTTCCACAAGTAGCAGCCTCCAGAGACCCAGGGAAACTCCTGTTCTGGCCACGCATGCAGCAAGGTCCGCAGGGGTTATCAGTGGGACTTCTCCAACACTCTGTACGTCTGCCTGGGGAAATCTGGTACCCAGAAGTGAAAGCTGAGAGCAGARGAGAGAGAAGTTTGCTAAAGACACACAAAATAAAAGCCGCTCAGGCAGGCTGAGCCAATGGCCTCATTCTTCATGTAAGAGAGCTCCCTCTAGGTTGAACTCTCGGGTATTTCAGAAGCCATYGCTCATATTCGAGTCCACATTCCACCCAGATGCCTTCACCTCCGCAGAGGTGTCCGTCCCCAGCAAGCCTGGAAGAGCTGCAGAGAACACAGCGTTTGCTTTCTGCCCAAAGGTGCCCGAGGCCGCGAGGGCTGCCCATGCCGCACGGAGGAGCAAATTCATCATTCACCAGGACCAGAGCAACAGGAGAATAATCCCATTTGTTCCAGGAGATTTGCTTCTGATTTTCAGCAGCACTTACAGAATCTCCATGTGCTCCTGGCCACACATCCCCCTAAACCACTCACCAGATCTACTGTTATATTCACCCACTTGGAGCTATGTCAGGGAAGGCGTCAACCTGACGTTTCTCCAGCCAAACACCCAATCTTTACCTTGATTTGAAATATATATGAATTATTCCACAGGCTGATGAGCACTGGAGTTCAGCAGCACCTTTTAAATTCACAGAACTAGAAAAATCAGATAGAAAAGACTTAATGCCAAAAATTCAGAGCTCTTCCCTGCAGCGGTATCCCAGGAGCTTTGAGCAAACTCGTTTTAAACATTSAAGCTTTTAATATAACTTTCTGTTTTATTTTTATTTTGCCTCATCTGGTATTTACCTATAAATATGCAGCTCCCTATATACCAAACAGCAGGTAGCTCCCATTTACAGCTGTATATAACTGACTGCAATATTCAACACCCTTTCTCTGCTATGCAGTATAATACTTGCAATAAAATACATATCATATTTGCAACTGTGTCCATGCTACTATTCTGGTACGTGAGACACATAAGGAAACAAATGCAGAACAYAGAAAGGAATTTACAACTTACACAAAAAGATGCATTGGGATTTTTCAATAAGATCTAGCATAATACAGGACAATTTTTATATCTTGTCTGYTCCCCTGGTCTTGCTGATTTAATGCATCTTTCCTCTCTATAACCATAAACCTATATGCTGTATATAGATTTTTTTAAACCTAATATACTGCTTCAATGTGTATTTATAAAACTTTACCATAGAAACATAAGAATTGCCAGAACAGYTCAGTCCAATGTCCATGCAGGCCTCTAGCCTGACTCCAATAGTTTTCCATGTTAATACGGATGGGGCAGAAAGTATAGCTTACTACAGTCCTCCTTTGTTTTATAACCATGTTAAAGATAGAAATGCTATCTTGTATTTCAGTACATACTTTTCAGAGGGGTTTTCTAGAGAGCAATGTTCATGAAAGCAGCATCAAGCCCACAAGGTAGGAAACAGAGGCAGGAAAAACAGAGCCAGGACCAAGCCGGGATAAGCGAGAGCCCTGGACTTACCACCTACTCCTCCAGCCCTCACATCCCACCACAGAGCCCCAGCCAGGCACCGTTCCAGGGGAATGACAGGGATGTAGCCCTGGGAAGAGTTAATGGTTGGGATCATCAGCCTGAGTGCTGCAGGTGTCTGCTTTTAATTCTCTTCTCCCAAACAGCACAGGGATTTTCACCCTCCCTCCTCCTTCACAAACGAGTGTTTAGCATAAGAAGAGCGGCAAG